TTACACTAAGCATGACTCATAATATAGGCTGCTTGTGATTTACTAGGTTATCCAAACTCAGCCATGATAGTTGGTAAATGGGACCTATGGCTGAGCCTGTTGTGTGAACCCAGCCAATTGTGATAGACCATGATTACGTGAACAAATGCTTAGCACAGTACTTGAACCCAGTTTAAATATAATGCTAAAAATCCGAACGTTACATTTAGGTTAAGCTACTCTTAACTCTTGCTCAGTGCAATATACTGTTGTGGAATTTTGCTAAACTAAGGAGCACAACACTGAGAAGAACCATTTTTATTGCAATGTTCATTAGGTGCCTGCTTTACAAGAGGGACCCTGAACAATGGAAAACCAAAGATTTTTTATAAAGTTGAAGGCGGAAAAGCCTAGGGATCTGATTTGCTGGCCAGCTTGGGGAAGCTAGGCAGGTCCTGGTCAGTGTACCTGGGGTGAGTTCTCTTGTTAGACAAAATGGGCTTTTCAGGAGGGCAGCAGAGCTGGGGAAGTTCATTGTTAAGGAGATGGAATGTTGAGCTCATCAGCTGACAAGAAGATGGAAGGTGGGGGCTTCTCTAGGTTGCAATTTCCTTGTAAGGGTTGCCCTTGGGCTGTGCTGTGAGCTAGTCAAGAGGATTCTATTCTTTGTGGTCTAGATGGGATTGCAGGTGGCTTTATCTGGTGCAGGGAAGGTCAATTTGGGTCTCATGGGATTAGGCAAGGAGAGCAACTGAGTTTGACCCTGGTCATATCTAAAAGACAGGGAGGAAGGGGTGCAGTCTCCGTTTTGGGTTTTTTGGTGCCTTTGAGTCAATGTCAACTCCTGGCGACTGCCTGGACAAGTCCTTGCAATTTTCTTTGCAAGATTTCAGAAGTGGTTTGCCACTTCTTCGTAGGGCTGAGAGTGTGTGACTGGCTCAAGGTCACACAGCTGGCTTTATGCCTAAGGTAAGACTAGAAATCAGTCTCCAGGGTTCTAGCCTGGTGCCTTAACCACTACACTTTCTTTGTTATGTTTGCTTTTTCCACTACAATAGTGGAATTAAATTTTTGCTTGTTTCTAATATCCAGTCAGTACTTAAAATATTTACTTAGAGACAGATGTAAGTTTAAATTGATTTTTTCATTGTTTCTTTCTTTACGGTATGTGTACATTACCCGAAACATAGATTCTGGGTGACTGACAACATTAAGAACACATTGCCACCATTTTTATTGATATGTTGATGAAGATTCTCAGTCATCCAGGTGGAATTATCTGGAGGTTGAGTCATGGCAACTGGACTTTTCTTTTGGTT